TTTTTTTAAAAAAAAAAAAAAAAAAAAAAAAAAAAAAAAAAAAAAATATATATATATATATTGTATTAAAAGTAATTTATAAAATATAAAGATTTAATAAGTATAGAAATATAAAGTGTGTAAAAATATTAATAAATATGAGCCCAAAAGAACGAGAAGTTAAAAAATATGGATCTGATAAAAAAGAACAGACATCTCTTTCTTATAAAGAGTTTTTATTAAAATGTGAAAGTGAAGAAGAGTGTGATTATAAAACAAAAATAAAAATAAAAATAGGAAATAATCAAAGAATAATGTTATTAATTAGACATTACAATGATGAATATTATTTAATAATTCATCAACAAAAATTAATAGTAGCATATCCAATGATATATAGAAAATTAGCTCCTCAAAAATCATTATATAGTTATAAAGAGTTTTATGAAAAGGGTGATGAAAAATATGAAGTTCAAAATAAAAGAGGAAAGGAGAGATGTGAAAAATATGATTTTAGTAATCATGAAAGAACATCAATTCCTATATTCGAAGGATTCAATGATAAGCCATTTTCTATTTGTTGTTCTTGTATTGATCTACCTCATTTATATGAATCAATTAATAATATTTATTCTGGGATACCAAAAAATATGAAATTACACTGTCCGCGTGATAATGAAATTAATAGAAAACTATATAAAGAAAGAATGGTATCTATTAAAAAAACGATTAGGCATTTATTGCCTTTTTATGCGATATTTCGTTTTAAAAGTGATGTAAAAATATTTCTCGTTTTTAATATTACAATTATTAAAAAGGAAAAAAGCTTTTCCGAATATTACCAATTATATAAGGATAAAACTGATTTAACTAGTTTAAGTCATAGATATGTATTAGATGAGACACCACAACATATAAAATTATTTGATGATAAAATATTTAATATTGAATATTCCTCATTTGCTTTTGATAATATTAATATTCCTACTATTTATAACAACTATTTATTATATCCATTTTACCCAGAGGAGTTGCATAATATAAAATATGATACATTAGATTATGGGTGTTCTTATAATAAATCCATTAAATTTGAATGTATTGAAAATGATGAAACAAAATGTATATATACAAATTCTACTTGCTTAAAAAAGTCTCTTTTAATACCAAAAAACTATGTATCGGATAAAAATGATGTATGTGGATTAATTGGATATAATGATGAATCTATTACAAGAAATGAGAATTGCATAGAAGCATCAAGATGTATAAGAAATACTGTAGAATCATATTTAAATAAAGCTCAAGAAATTACAAAAGGAAATGAAGAAATAATGACAAAATTACCTATTATTAATGGAAAATATCCACATTATATTTTTAAAAAAAAAAATTATGATATAGACACACCAGATAAAAGAACAATTAATTTTTTTTCTGATCTCAATATAGATCATTATATAGCATATGAATATTTTAAAGAAGACAGAACAGAATTTACAATAACTATAAAAAATATAAAAAAAAAAGATATACTTCAAAGTTATAAAAATTTTGAATATAAAGAGAAAAATTTTAAAAGTAATAAGGATAGTTGCAACTCTACATGGTGCACTGATAATAAAGCTAATATGTATTATAAAACTCAAGATGAACCAAAATTAGAAGAAATAAAAGAAAATTTATATGATGGAACTGTTTTTTATTTAGAAACTTTAAATGAGTTAAGAATTATTAATATTTTATATTCTGATATATGTGATGAATTAAATAAAAGTTCTTGTGGAGTGCTAGTTCATATATGGAATCCCTCTAAAGAAGCCATAAAAGCTAGGTTAAAATTACAATGCATTTTAAATGTGGAAGAAAAATATATTGACGAAAAAAATCTTGTTTTTGAAGAAGGTGTTTATCAATTTTTACATTTTTTTAAGGTTCCTTTAGATAAATTTGAATACTTCAGAAACTGCACTGTTTATGCTTATGGTGCTTTTAAATTATATGATAGCCAAACTTATGTTCAATATAAAAAAGGATTTTTTAGAAATCTTTTAAGTGATGAAACTAATGATGTTAGTGGAATCAAATTTTATTCAGAAGGTATCAAAAGATTTATTTGTTGTCAAGAAGATGTTCAAATTTGTAAAATTAAAAATATTCCCATATGTGATACAAGTAATTCCTTTAATTTAATCAAAATCTTGATTTCCATATTTTTAATTTTTTTTATTCTTATTCCTCTTGTATATTATGCTAATAAAAAGAAAAACAACCGTAGCCAAATAAATGATAGCAATAGTAATCATGCTTCTTTTAATAAAAATGAAAAGAATAGATAAAAAGATAAAAACAAATAAAATATATATAATACGTAAAAACGTATTAGAAATATAATTTTAAATATTTAAATAATAAATAAAATAAAAATAATAATTAATTTATAAAGATATGAAAATCATAAAAACTAACTAAAATTTTTTTTTTTAAAAATTATGCAAACATAATAGTATAATTTTTAAATTAGCGGAACATATCCATTTAAAAATTATGTTAAAATATATTAAGAGTGTGTTTTATAGATTTTTTATAAAAATTTAAAAGAATAATAATGTATCCTATATTTATATATTTATGTTGAAATTATATCCATTTACACTATAAACATATATTTTTAAAATAAAATTAAAATGGTTACTTAAAAAATATATTTCATCTATAAAAAGGAGAATACATTTTGCTTACTTTTAAAATATTAAGCATTATTGTTCTTGTATAGTATTTAAATATTTATGTGTGTTCATTTTTAATTCTTTAAAATCTTTTAATTAAAAAAAAGTATACATTAATTTTTTAATTTTTTTTTTTTAAAGAAAAAATTTCTTAACTTTTTTATTAATAAATTGTTCTTAAGGAAAATTGGAAAATATTCTTAAATGATAAACATCATAAAAGTAATTTTAGAAAAATAAATAAAAAAAAACAATAATAAAACAGATCATGTTTTTTTTTAAATTTAAATGAAACTATAACTAAATCTTTTTTACATTTTTATTTGTAAATTGAAATAATAATATAATTTTTAAAGAAGATTTACATTCTCTATGTAATAATAATGTATCTACATTCATAAACATTTTAAAGTAAATATTTATTATTGCGTTTGAAGAATATTATATTTATAATTCTATTTGAAATTTTGTATTATTGTATATAAAACTTATTAATTTATTATAACATTTTAATTAAATCTATCAAAGGTTATAAATTTTAATTCTTTTTTTTTTTTTTTTTTTCTTTTTTATAATACTGAATTATTATAAAATAAAAAATCTCATAAAAAATAAAATATTTTCATATTTTGGTTTTTATTTGACTATTTCTTATATGAACAAAATGCTTCTATATTTTTAAACTAAAATAAAGTAATTTTGTTCTTTCATTATTTTACTTAAATTATTTAATATTATATTAGTTATAAATTATTAATTAATAATTATCTTAAATACTATTGACAAAATTATGTAAAAGTTAAGTACTTAATTTAATAAAAAAAATAAATAGCTTTTTTGTTACATTCAAATGATAATATAAAGTGGAATTTATACAAATGACACTGAAAACAGCCAAAATTGGTTTACTTTTGAAAATATAAAATTAAGAAATAAAATAAAAAATTTGAAAATATAAAATAAAGAAATAAAATAAAAAATTTGAAAATAAAATGTAAAAAAATTTAAATGTCAAGTATATTTTAATATGTATTAAAAAAGATAAAATAGGTAAACTAAATTTAATCAAAAAAAAAAAAAAAAACACTTTTTTTAAAATATGAAAAGAATAAAAAGTAAAAATAAAAAATTAAAACTTTAAATTTTCATTATTTTTTTCATGTATTTTTTTTAAGTATTTTTTTCATGTATTTTTTTCATGTATTTTTTACATACCAATTATTAAAAAATAGACAAAAGAGTTTACTTGGAGATAATTATTACTTAAAACTAGACAAACTTTTAAAAGATAAAAAAATTAGAAAATAATATAAAAGTTCTCTTATTTAAACTGGTATAAATTTTTCAAATCACATATTCTTAAGATGAGATAGCTATTTTGATAATAATGAAATTAAAAAAAACTTCAAGTGACAATGTAATTGAAGTCTTAAGAAGTTTTTCGAGAAAAATTTAATATAGATTAAAAAAAATTTTTTGAAAAAAAATCAAACGATTTAATTGATAAAAAGAAAGAAGAGAAAAGTGAAAGTAAATATGATAAAAATATTAGGCATGATAAAAATATATTTCCTTCAAAAATAAAAAAAATAGTGTCAATTTTAAAATTCACAAACATCTAATATGTAAATACTATTCAAAATGTAATTCTTATACAAACTATAAAATAATCTACATGAATGAAGTTACAGAAAAAATGAGAAAAATAAAAAATTTATTAAATTAAAAAAAATACATATTCTCAAATGTTAAATCGCAAAGATATTTAAATAATGTATTAGGAAATATTGAAAACAAATATAATAAAAATAATCATAATAGTAATGAAGACAACAATATTTTACAAAGAAAAAAAATTGCTCTATATCTTGTAAAAATTCAAAAATTTTTGTGATGATATTATAGATATAAATGGAAATTACATTAACAAGAGTAATTAAGAATGTGATTTAAAAATATATAACGAAAAAGAATTTAATATAAAAGAAGATAAAGATACTTTTGATAACAGTATAAATAAACAACAACAACAAAAAAAAAAAAAAAAATACTAGAGGTGAGGAATTTAATAACAATATTTGAAAAGTACATATTTTAAATGATATAAATACAAATATGGTTATTAAAAATAGTGAAAAAAAGGAAAGGAAAATTTTATAAATATGAATAAAAAAAAATAAAGACACATGAAAATTATAATAAGAAATAATAATTATATATATAAAAGAAAAAAAAAAAAAATTCAAAGAATGAAAACTTTAATTATATAAACTGTAACAAAAATTATTATCTTATTGAAAGAAATAATAAAATACAATGTAAAAAAATTAAGATGTATTAGATAATGAAATATTGCATGTAATTGATAAAGGCAATTTAAATAATAACCTTAAGGACAAAAATAGATACGCTAATGAACTAAATTTTAATAATACAATACACAATGATAAAAAAAAAAAAAAAAAAATAAAACTGATGATGAATTAAATGTAAATATATAAGGATTTTGAAAAAGTGTTGCCAAAAGAAAAAAGACTTTTTCATTGAAACAACAAGAGCAAAATTATAAAAATAATTTGTATAAAAAGCTTGAAAAAGAAGATTACAGTAATTATCTTAATAAAAATATGATTTTAAATAGTTATGATATGAATAATAAATTTAGTTTCATTATAACAGAACATTTTGATAACAGGAAAAATATAAACAAAAATATAAATAGTTTAGGAAAAGTTAGATATTCAAAATCATTGCAAAACAGTAATGAAAAATTCTTTCAAAAGAGAGAAAGATATATTGATATTCTTATAAAAAAGAATACTAAAAATTATGAAAAAAAATTTTCATCAAATGACTTCCTAAAAACAGAAATAGAATTTTATAAAAGTAACTCAATTTTAAATTATCCTTCAAAATTTAAAAATAGAAGCAAAATATCATTTTTTAAGATGTTAAGATTTTATGAAGAAAAAAATTGAGTCAAGTTACAACATTCTGTTACATATAGGAGAGAAAAATTTTAATACTTCATTAAATTATCAAGGAAAAATAAAGTACAAAAATTATATAATTATAGGATATTTTTTTTTATATAGTGATATTATTTAAATGGATATTCTTCTAAAATAAAACAAAAAGAAAAAAAAAAAATTTCAAATTATAATCAATTATACGAAGATGATGATTTTTATTTTAAAGGAAGACAGTTTTTCCTTGAGTGATATTAAAAAATCTACAGAAGAAATATGGAGAATTTCCCTGTAGGATAAAAAAAGTGCATTTCTTTTTTATTTATGATTAAATTTATTTTGTTATATTTTTATTTAGTAATATTTTTTCATTTTAAAGATAAAATTAAAAATTCTTAAAAATTAATGAATAAAAAAAATAAAAAGCTAGGAATATATAAAAATTGAAAAAACCATTAAATGAAAATAATAAAACAAAAGGTAAAAGAAAAAATTATATATTATATAAAAAAAAAAGTTAAAATGTATATGAAAAAAATAAAGGATATATGAAAATAAGATAATTTCTTTTTAAATATAATTTTTCAATTAAAAGAAATATAAAAGATTTAGAAAAAAAAGAAAAAGAAAAAGAAAAAAAAAGAAAAAAGAAAAAACCTATATATGTATTATTTTTAATAATTTATATTATACATTCTTTTAAAAATGCATATATAATATTATAATTTTTGCACTATATATCACTGAAAAAAGAATTTCTTAAATATTATATATAAACTGATGAAATAGGTACACAAGTATTTAAAGCTAATAAATATATATATATATATATATATATATATATTTATATTTTTGAATAAATATATCTTTAATGGTATTTTTAGAATATTATTTCAAATATTATTGTATTATCCCTATTCATCAACTAAGATTTTCGGAATTTACGTTTTCTGTTTCATTTTGTTTATTTGAACATTTTTCTTTTTCATTCAATTCATTTTTCTTTTTTTCTTCTATTTCTTCTGTGTTTTTCGTAGGTATTTCATTATATTCATTTGTATCTAATAAATCCTTATCTACATCACATGGTAATTGTTTTGTTTTTTCATTTTCATTTGTAATTATATTTCCTAATAATTCGTGGTTAGTCGTAGATGACTGCTCTGTTTTAATTTCTTCTTGATCAAACGAATTTAAAGTAGAAGTTTTTTTTGAATAAAAAAAAGATGATAAGTCTTCTTCTGATATGTTGTCCTTTATATTAGATAATTTTAGCTGTTTATATTTTTCTTTTAGATCTTCATTACCATTACTGATAAATTTTGAAATATATCCCCAACAGGAATTGTTAAAAATTTCTTTACATTCATTATCTTGACATTCTTCAGATAATTTTTCAACATGTCTACCAATAAAAATAATGAGTTCATCAACTTTATTAGTAACATCAGATGATGTCATAATTTTTTCATCTTCAAGCGTCTCACTAGATAACACTTTTTTTACAACTTTCAATAATTTTTTGTATTTTTTTACAGATTTTTTTGCTAATTTATTTATACTATATTGATCCATTTCTTTCAGATTACAATTTTTTATTTTATATTCAATTTCGTGGTCTAACATTTTTCTTTTTCTTTTCTTCTTAAAATTTTTTTTTTCTCTCTTTTTATCATCATCTTCCTCGTCTTCATATTCATCATCTTCTAAATCTTCGTTTGATTGCGCTATTTCATTTTCTACATTCGTATCGCTATCCTTGTGAATTTTTCTTTTTTTTTTTTTTTTTTTTTTATTTTCATCATATAAAAATTTATTACCCTCATGATAATCTTTTATATTACCTTCATCGTCTTTATCACAATTACTTTTATTTTCATTAGATGAAGAACAAGCGGATGAGTCATAATTAGAATTATTATTTTTTTCTTTATTATCGTCGTTTAATAATATTGTTGATTTAACTTTTTTCTTTTCTTGTGTTGATATCATGCTATTACTAACATATTCACTATCGTTCATATTATCATTTTCTTCTTTTTTTGTGTCTCCTTCTTCTTTTGTTATTATTTCATTTTCTTGATGTAAATGTACAGATTTCATTTTACTTTGATTTTTTTTGTTATATCCCTGTTTATTGTTTACTTTATTAATATTACTTTCTTCAGATTTTGTAAAATTGCTAATTTTTAATTGATTTTTTGATTCATTTTTATTGCTTCTAATTTTCATTCTTCTTCTTTTTTTACTATTAGTTTGATCGTTATTTTTTGAGTACATTTCTTCAATCAATTTTAATATTCTTACGCATCTCATTTTAACTTTATCACACTTTATATTTTTCAAATGTGATAAATTTAAATTTACATCTGAGCTAATTTCATTAAATGATCCAAATCCATAAACATAAATTCCCCTGATTAAATTTTCGTCATCTTCTCGTGTCCATGATTTGACATCTTTTGAAGTTAAATCTCTTAAATGATAAAATATACAATCAGGTAATTTCAATTTTAGATAATCATTTGAAGAATCTGTAGATGTAATTGTGTTTACTTCTTCTTTTTTTTGTTTAGTTTTATTATTTTTTTGATTTTTATCCTCATTTACAAGTACACTTTTTTTTAATGGTAATTTAAAGCTATATTCATTATCATTATTTTGCTTTTTAATAAAATTATGTAAGCATTTAAATAATTTTAAACGTTGACATAAATCTAATGCATTTGCTCTATTTGTTCCTATAAAAAAAGTATATGCATCTATTCTCTTCCCTTTATCTAATCCCTTTATTTTAGCATTGAAATCACTTTCGTCATTAGAATTATAATTGTTTTTAACAGTTAATCCATCAAGTGCTTGATCATCCATTTCTTCAACTAATTCACTGTTATTTTCCTCTTTTATTTTTTCATTTGTTTTTATGTTATCTCTTGATAAGCTACCACCTCTTCTTTTTTTATTTATTGTAATTTTACCATTTTTATTCTCTTCTTCCTTCTGTTCCTTCAGAATATCGTTATCTTTAAGATTTTCTTCATTGTTTTCCACTATTTCATTTTTTTCTTCTTCATCAGTTAATTCTTTTTCTTCATTATTTACTTCATTTTTTACCTGAATTTTTTCATTCTTCGTATCTTCTTCATTTATTTCTTTTTTAACGTATTCTGAAATAATATTATCTTCTTTAGTCGATTTCTGATTTTCATCTTCTATTATTTCTTTCGTTTCATCTGATTGTTCTTTATTATTTACCAAAATATTTTCTTGATCATTTTTATTTTTATCTAAATTGTCAGAAGACACGATTTTCATATTACTATTTTCATTTTCATTATCATCCTCATTTTTGCTGTCATTTTCATTATTTTTGTCTTCTTCATTAATATCTTTTTTATTATTATTTGAATTGTTGCAGGAAATTGTTGTTAAATTATTATTATTATCCATAGTTGTATTTTTCTCTTCCTCCTTTGTTTTTAGTGAAGCATTATTACATTCGGTGGAGCATTTATCAAGTTTAGTTATTTCTTCATTTTTTTCATTATTTTCCTTTGATACTTTTTCAACTATTTGCTTACATGTATCTACAATAATATTCAACTCTGTTAGAATAACATTTTTATCAACTTTAATTAATTTTGAGTCCTCCTGTATATCATCCAATCGTAGATATGGATTTCCAAATTTTAACAAGGATCTATATAAACGGAATTTATCTTTTTCAGTGATATGAGTAGCTGTTCTTCTTCTTCTCCTTTTTTTTTTCATATTCTTATTTTTATCATTATATTTAATAGTATATTCTTCACTATCATCATCATCATTCAAATTATTAGCATTACTATTATCCATTTCCATCACATTTTTCATATCTTTGGCTCTTGTTTTTCTAGGCCCATGTACCAATAATTCTTCTTCTTTCATTCTCTTAAGTTTTAGTCTTTCTTCTAAAGGAATAGTTCTATCCCAAAAATCTTTATCATTTTCTTCTTCATCTATTTCATCCGCTTTTGTAGAATCATTGTATATATTACTTTTTAGATTTGCTGGTGGTTCATATTTAAATTCAGTAATATTATTATAAGAACTTAATAAATCATCTGCTAATCCTCCGCCAGTTGTACCTGAAGCATTTGTATTTCCAAATAAATTATTACTACTATTAAAAAAATTGCTGGAATTTTGCAAACCATTTAAATCTGAATTAAAATTTAATTCCTTATTTGAAATATTAGCATTACTAGCATTTTCGTTAATTTCTGCTTCTTCTAAAATTTTATCCAGATCTACGTCTACTCCTTTTATTATATTTTTTTCTTCATCTAATTTTTGAGGTGAATATTTAGAACTATTTTGTTCCCATAACTTTTGTGCACCAAACTTCAATATTTTGGATAATTCTTCTCTTGTAAATCCATTAGCATTTCCACCTTCTCCTCCAATATAATTAACATTATCATTCTGTTTTTTATTTAACCCTTGAACAACTAAAGTATCTAATACCATTTTTACTTTTGCTCTTTCTAAAATAGTTTGCTCAATAGAATCTTTTGTAACCAGACGATAAATTTGCACTGTTTTTGTTTGACCTATACGATGTGCTCTGGCACCTGCTTGTAAATCATTTTGTGGATTCCAATCAGAGTCATATATAATAACAGTATCTGCTGATGTTAAATTTATACCTAAACCACCTGCTTTAGTAGATAATAAAAATACAAAATCATCAGAATTTTTACTATTGAAATGATTCATAGCTTTTTTTCTCATTTCTTTTGTCATAGTTCCATCTAATCTTTGATGCTTAAAACCTCTTAATGTTAAATATTCACTTAAAATATTTAACATTTTAACCATTTGTGAAAATATTAAAACACGGTTTCCTCTTTCTTTTAACCTATTTAACAGTTTTTCCAATAAACATATTTTTCCACTGGAATAAACTAGTCTTTCTCTATATTCATCTTTGTCCACTGGTTCACAACATAAAAATGGATGGTTACAAACTTTTTTTAATTCCATGCATATGTTTTGCAAAGAATTTTTTGCACCTCCTGATGCTTTAGCTAGCTGTTCATAATTTTTTGTTAAAATGTTTTTATAATATTCAATTTGTATAGGGGATAATTCAACTCTTAATATTCTTTCCACTTTATTTGGAAGTGATTTTTCTACATCTTTTTTTACTCTTCTTAAAATAACTTCGTGCAATTCGTGCTGTAGTTGTATTAATTGTTTTTGTTTCGCTTCTCCAATTAAACTAGTATTTTCAATTTCATTATATTTTTTTTGGAAGGTTTCATAATAAGTATATTGTTGTGGATTCAAGAAATGTAACAATGTCCATAATTCTTCTAAATTATTATGCAATGGGGTTCCACTTAATAAAAGTTTTGATTCTGCCATAAATTGTTTTAATTCAATAAATCTTTTGGATTGTCTATTTTTTAATTGATGTGCTTCATCAACAACCATTAATTGCCATGGCATTTTTTTTAATAATTCTACGTCGTTTATACTATTTAAAATGGAAGGAGTAGTTATGCACACATCAAATTTATATCTATATCCTTTATTTGGTACATACACTTTTTTTAATTCATATGTTCTGATTAATTCTCTGCTAACTGCATTTCCATGATAACATACAACATTTGCTTGTGGTAACCAACTTTTGAATTCGTTTAACCAGTTATCAACAGTGGATTGTGGTACAATAATTAAATATGGGCCTATTAATTTTTCTTTATATAACATATGACCAATAACAGCTATTGTTTGAACAGTTTTACCCAAACCCATTTCATCTGCTAATAATACACTTAAATTTCTCTTCATTCTACTAACGATCCAATTAAGTCCTGTTAATTGATATGGTCTTAATTTCTTATTGTTTAAATAAAATGGAGTTTCATTATATGGATCAAATTTTGTAGCTGTTAAAGGACCTCTGTTCCAAATACTTGACATTGCTTTACTTCCGCATATTTTACTTTCTCTGTCATAATATTCTTCAATTAATTTTTCAAAACCATGATCAATTAATGTTTGTTTCGTTTCTTCTGTACATTGATCATATGAACAACTCATCCACTTCACTAAGAATATTTGTTCGTTAGTGTTTTCATTTATATCGTGGGTTACTATTCTTTCCGCATGAATTGCATCCATTTCTATTTGTTTTTTTATTTCTGAATAAATTTTTTCTTGTTCTATTTCATCTGGAGTCATGTATTTTCTTTTTTGAAAAGATTGTTTTATTTTTTTAATATAATTATCTACTTTCTTTAATCCATTAAAATTTTTTAAATATTCATAGGTACAAAAAAAATTATGAATGTGAGATTTACCAATCCATTTTATTAAAAATTCAACCTCATTTATATCTACTATATCTTCTTCTTCATAATATTCATCAATAGCATTATCATCATTTTCCATATTTGATAATTTATTGTCATTAGATGGATCACTATTGCTTAAATTTTCATTATTGTTTTCATTTTCATTTACATTATTCGTACTTTCTTTTTCATTTTCATTATTTATATTTGAGCTTCCACTTTCATTATTATCATTTTGATATGTTCCTAATTTTTTTTTCTTATTTATATATAAAAATGGATTGTTAGCAATATTATTTAAATTATTATAATCTATTATTTTTCTGTGACATAATACTTTATCTATTCCTCCCATACTTTGTTTTTCTTGTTTTAACAAATATTTTTCTTCATCTATTTTTTTGTCTTCTTCATCAGTTTCAAAATAATTATCAATTTCAGCATAATTATATACTTTTCTTCTTTCTCTTAAGTTAGTTCTTCCTTCTACTGTTCCAATATTTGGAGAAACAAAAATATCATTTTTTTCATTTCGTCGCATTTTATCATTATATTTATCTTCTGAATTATCATAATAGTATTTCTTACTTGTCTTTGATGCAACTTTTTTTACATAAGAATTAACATACAAATCATTATCATCATCATCATCACTATCATAAGAATTTGTTACATTTCTTTTTTTTTTCTTCTGGGTTAAAGATTTTTTAGATTTAGATGCTTGTTTTATTAACGAAGTTTTCTTTATATATTTATTATTATTATTTTTTAATTCATTTACATTCGAGAAATGCTCATTATTATTATTGTTATTCATATTAGCATGCATATTTCTATTTAATATTCTCATATTAATATCATTGGTATAATTTCTGTTATTTATATAATTCATATTATTAAAATTATTTATATTATTTATATTTATAATATTACTTAAATTACTACTATTATGATTACTATTTATAATAGAATCGTTATAGGTTTTCATATTATCCATTGTTTTTAAAGCATTAAATCTGTTGTCATTATATGTATTTATAATATTATAGTTATTTATGTTTGTTAATTTGTTCATATTATTAAAAGTATTAATATCATTTATATTATTAATGATATTTAGATTTTGAAAGTTATTATTAATATTATTTTTATTAGGCATATTAAAAGAATTAATATTATTAAACATATCAACATTCACTGGATATTTTACATTATAATTTGGAAATAAAGTGTAAGGATTAGTAGTATTTATATTACTAATATTTTCATTTTTATTTATATTTGTATCCTTTATTTCACTTTTTATATCTTTTGTAGGATTATTTCCTTCTACATCATTACATTTATATTTCTTATATGAAATTGAGTCATTATTTATCACTCCATTGGAAGCATAGTTTTCTCCTTTATTTTTTTTTGATTTAGAAGATAATGAATTATTAGTTTCACTTAATGTGGAACCATTTTCATTTTCTAATTTTTCTTCTTTTGTGTTTTTTTCCTTTATAATGTTATCATTTTTTGAATGAATATTCATGGAAGAGTTATCAAATTGATAATCATTCATGTTATTATATGGAATTTTATTATAAATATTCATTTGATATCTCATATTATTTACATCTGTTAAAGTATTCTGTTTATCTAATGAATTATTTATCATATATGGTGGAATGTTACAAACATTCATTGCTTTAATATTCACATTATTATTAGGAATAAAGTTGTTCATATTTTTATTATTATTTATCATCATATTATTAATCATTTTATTATTTAAAATAATATTGTTATTAACCATATTCATAATAACATTATTAGGAATATTTGATGGATCAACGTTGTTTTTATTAATATTATTTGTATTTATATTCTTTGTATTCAAATTACTATTATTAGAATTAATAGTATTGCTATTATTCATATTGCTCGAATTTCTATTATTAGTGTTTACATTATTTGAACTCATACTGTTAGGTAAAGACTTCATTTGAACTGATTTTTCTATATTTCCTCCTTTATTTAAAATATTCATAGTGTTACAATTTGTTTCTCCATAATTTGTTGTGTTTAAATTATTAGTAAAACTGTTGTTACTATTATTATTTGTTCTTGTAACATTTTCATAAGACGATGTATTATTAATAGAATTATTATTATTTAGTGATGCATTGTTAATTATATTTGTATTTGATTTAAAGCAATTTGATGAACCATAAAACCCATTATTGACATACGGATAGAAATTTCCGTGCACATTAAATGGGGCAGAATTATTTCGTAATGCCATGTCATTTCTTTGATAATTCATGCACATATTGTTACTCATAAAATTACCTTGTTTTAAATTATTTTGTGATATAAAGTTTTGATCTTTATTATTTTGCTTTATATCGTTATTCTGCATGGATGATTTAACATTATTTATATGTGCATTTTGATTAATTTCTTGTAACGGATAATTCATAGTGTTATATCTATTCATTGAATTATTCATAAGTGAATTTATTGATGATAATGGAACATTACTTATTCCATATGATGATAAAAGAGATTTTTGATAAGAATCATGCAATGCACCACAATTCTTATTCATCCCTAAGTGTTGTCTCATCTGCATATTTTGTTCATTATTTAATAAACTATTTGTTATACTAATAGTTGTATTGCTATTAGAATTGGAATTAAAATTATTATTTTTTGGTATATTAAGATTATTAGAGTTATTTAAATAAGGCGAACATGAAATGTTCTTATTAACTTGATTCATATAATTAGGTGTCATATTTTTTATGTTAGAATTTTCAGAATCAATAACATCACCGTACATAGATAAATCTCTCATATTACCACTATTCATTATTGTATTCAATGAATTTGAATTAATGCTTGAATATTTATCATTTGGTACTGAGTTTGGTATATCTTCATATGCTCTTATATTTTTATTTGAATTAGATATTATTGAATTTTTCATTGATGTATTTATTCCATCTATTGTTGATTCTCCTGTAGAAAAATTCGATACTGAATTATTATTTTTGTTATCTTTCAATATATGATCATTTTGACAACTATTATTTACATAATTATCCATCCTTATTTTATAATATCAAAAACAATGAACTCAATCTTTTTTATTCGTTTATATTTCTATTTTAATATATGTTGTATCCAATATCATTTCATGCATAACTATTATTACAATTATCTTCTTTTATTTTTTATTTTTTTTAATTTTTATTTTGATTACTGAGTTTACTTTTAATTACTTTAATTTGTAGTATTATTGTTAATTATTTGAAAATATTATGCATAAATCTTTTAAAGATAATATATTTTAATTTAACATTTAGATTAAATCTACTGGAAATATAGATGCACATATCAGTTTTTGAAATTAGCTACATAAACAAAATAAAAAAAATTACATATATATATATACAGATAGATGGATAGATATGTAAATAGATAGGTAAATATCTAGATAAATGGATAGATATGTAGAAAGATTGATATAGATATACTATGTGTTATATTTTTTATTTTTAATAAATAATTATACAAAAAATGTCGTTTTAATTTTTTACAAAAATATGTTATATTCTTATTCTAATTGCTACAATATATATATTTAAAATACAATTTAAACATTTGTTAATATAATAAAATGTATTTATAATTAATAAATATATATAGTGTATATAAATATTAATTTCACAAAAAATATTTCATTTAATAATTATTATAGAATAATATAAAATTAAAAAACATATTAAACATATATATATTGTAAAATAGTTTCATATTTACATCAAAAATTATAAAAAAAAATTAAAACAACATTCAATAATAATTAACTTTTTTTTTTTTTTTTTTTATTATAAAAATAATTCATTTTAAATATATAGAAAAATCTAAAAAAAAAAAGGAGACAAATGTCATATATATAATTTTATTAAAACGACAAATACATACTGTTTTTATTATTTGGTAATTTACAATATACATATAGAAAATGCATAAAATATAGGTATATAAATTATAAAATTATATACTAATACAAATATAAAAAAATAAAATAAACGTTATAATAATTACAATATATTTAATAAAAATAATTAAATATATATTTTAAATAAAAATAGAATAAATAAATTATTTTTATTATTAATTATATTTAATTCATTTATTATTTTAAAAGTAAAATATATAAAAGAAAATAAACATATATGTATATATATATATGTATATGTAAAAAAAAAAAAAAAATAATAATAATAAAATTAATTATTTATATGTATATACTTCAACACAATTTACTCATGTTTTAGATAATTATAAGCTTAAAAATATGTATGAGACAATGAATAATATTTATTCATATAAATATGTGCGTTCAATACAATTCACTTTTATAATTTTGTTATAAAAAAAAAAAAGAAAAATATGTGCATCTCATACTTGCATAATACATATTTGCATGATAATTTACGCATATTTTATACGTTTATATGCAAATTTTATTATTATTATTATACTTTTATTATTTTTTTTTTTTTTTTTAACCTATTTAAGATATTTTCTATATCTTAACACATCTATAAGAATGAAATATAAGGTTTATAAAATTTTTTTTTTATATATTACCGTAAATTTAGTTTTTATATAACGTGTTTATGCACCAAATATTTATATTAAAATTTTTATGATATATAATTTTTCTTTTTTTTTTGATTTGCACTTTTTGAAACTTTTAGTTACACATACATATAATATGTATATATGTTGGATTATTAAAATTTACTGTATATTCAATATTGTTTATTTAATTATTTTATTTTATTTTTTTTTATTGTCCTAAATTTTATTATATATGGTATATGCATATATATATATATATTTTTGTTAAAGCATAAGTAATTTTAAATTTTTGCGTGCGTGCAATTGTTAAAAATTCGTGTGTGTGCAAATAGCCCCAAAATATTTTATATGAACTGTTAAGTATTCAACTAAAAAAAAAAAAAAAAAATAAAATAAAAATATGAAATTGAAAATAAAAATATGTAAATATAAAATATAATAAAATATAAAAAAAAATAAATTAAATAATAAAAATAAAATGTTATTCTAGAAAATCTACTAAAGTTTAATATGTTATGTGTGCACAAATAATTTTGACATACTTTTTAAGTTAAATATATTAATGCTTTCTAGCTTATATGCCAATAAAATGAAAAATATTTTTTTTTATATTGTCTTTTTTTTTTTATTGTATTAATAAGTAATTCTTTATAAAATTTTAAAAATACAACATATGAATTATAAAAGAAAATAATTTTCACATAATACGTATATATTAAAATTGCATTTAATACAAGTATTGACATAAATTTTTTTAATAAATACTATTTATCTATATATATTTACTATAAAAAATACTTTTCATTTTTAAAAAAATAAATAAAATGTTAAAATATTGAATAAAGATACAATAAAATCATTCTTAAAAATAGTATACGCACTAGTAAATAAAAATAATATATTTTTTAATGAAAAATTAATTTTAATTTAAATGAGGTTTTCATGGTAAATAAGGATATTAGTAAAATCATAAATATTATATATTCTTATTCTATAATATTTTTTATATATATTACTTTTTTTCATAAAAAGTACTTTTTCTAGGCATATGTCTAATTCTATAAGAATACTATTTATTAAAAATAAATAAAATTTTCAACAGTTTTATACAATTAATTCTAAGTAAAAAATAATATAATATAAAATATGTAATAAATATATAAATATATATATATATGTATGTATATATATATTTATATATATATATATATATATATATAATATATATATATATATATATATATATAAATATATGTAAAGCAGGAAATATAAACTAAAAACATAAAAAAATGAATAAAAATTATAATAGAATAAAATGGCACAGTATTGTTATATGTAATATTGGATTTTTTATTAATAAAATTTTTTTTCTCATAATATGTATTAAAACATTGTGAATAAAAGGTAATTATTAATAAAAAAAAAAATTCATTAAAAATTATTTGAAATTTTTTTAAAAATACAGAATTAATTTTACATAGTTAAAGTAAAAATAAAATAAATATTTAAATATATATTGCATAAATATGTTAATATATAAAATTAAAATTTATTTTTTTTTTTTTTTTTTTTTTTTGAAGTAATATACTTAATGCGATAATAATTTTGAGCATGCGTACATGAATATAAAAAATTGCATATGAACGAGTTATTATATTAAAAAACTGCAAGCATGTTCTTAAAAATTAATATTTTTTAAATTATATTTTTAATTTTTAAAATGAATAAGAATATTTGTACTATAATTTTAAAAATTTTAAATCTCTTTTTCTTTAAAGCTTGGAATTAAATGTATTAAAAAATTTTGAAACTACAAAAAAAAAAAAATTCTCTTTTTTTTTTTTATTTGTATGTTTTTATAATTTGCTCTTTTATTTTTCTCGTTTTTTTCATTTATAACATGTTTTGGTTTTTCTAACAATTTGAGACTTTTTATTCATTTTTTTAAAAATAATTTTTCTCTTTTGATTCCTAACTTTCACTGAATCATAAATTTTTTCTTTTTGGTCTTTTCTTTTTTCTTTTTAAATTTTTATTTATATATTCTTTTATTATGATTTTTAATTATATGGTAATTTTTATTTTTTTTAATTTTTCTATTTAATTTTTATGTATTTATATTTTTACTTAATTCTTTGAACATTTTTAATAATGTTTTACTAGTTCAATATAAGGAAAAAATTTTCTAAGAACTTTAACACAAAAAATTTAAATATATAACATCTATACTATTTTAATTTAAAATATTTTTGGAAATTTTTATATTTTTTTTTAATCTTTTCGTCGTTAATAAATTCACAGCTGAATACTTTTTAATTTTCATGTATATTAACATACATTATAAATGTCGAAATTTTTTTTTTATTTTTGTAAATTTTTCTTTTACTAATATAAACCTACAAAATAAGAAAATGATCATATTATTTTACATGGTAAATCGCAATGTAAAATTTTTTTTAAATTTTAAATAATTTTTTACCCTAAATAATTTCTTAAAACCCGAAAATATTAAAAAATTAAAGATTTTTAATTATTTATTTATTAATATTGCTAAATATTTTATGTTACTAGGTAACAAGAAAAAAATAACATATTAATATTCTTTTTATATTGTAAAGGTACTTTTCTATTTTATAATTTTCTAGTAACTTTAATAACAAAAGTCGATAGAAGGAAAAAAATTATCTTCAAATTATGTTTTTTTATCTTTAATTTTTTATGAAAAAATATTTACGAAAACATTAAATATTATTGAATACCATTTAGAAAAAATAATATGTACTGTTAATAAAGTTTTATTTTAATTTATACATTTTTTAGTTTATTAAAATATGAATTGACACATAAAAATATCTACCGAACTATTTTATATAAAATTTTACTTTTGTAATATGAGAATTTGAAATTCACTATAATATTTAACCTTTAATTTTTATTCTGATTTATTTAATTTATTTTCAAATTAAAGTTAAATTTAAGAGGTTTAATAGTTTTAAATTACAATTAATAATTTTGTGTATTTTATTGAAAATGATTTTACAAATTATATTCCAGAGAAATTTATAATTTTACTTTCTCATTTCTATTGTTAATATTTATTATTTACAAGTCTTATCTTGTATATGTTTTTCTATTTTTCATTAATTTTCGTTGCTTTTTTATTTGATAACTTGGTTAAATCATTAATATTTTATCGTTAAATAGTGTAGAAAAAAAATTTTTTTTTTTTTTTTTTAATTTTTTTGAATTTTTATCAAAGATGTGGTCTATTAAGTAAAAGAAAAACTTTACTTACATAATGAAAAATAATATAATTCTTATATGTATTTATTTTATTTTTATAAAAAATATATGTGGAGGCTTAAAAGTACACAAAATAAAAGAAAATTATTTTACCATAAGTAAAAATGGGGGTAATACAGATATATATAAAAATAATTCGTCCAATAATAATATTAAAAAGTTAGGTGAAAGTAAGAAGGAAAATAAATTTTTTCATTTTGAAAATAAAAAAAAAATATCTATTAATCCTCTATTTCAGTCTATATGCAAAGATGTGAGTGTTAGTGAAACATGCTTACATAATATTCAAAATTTTTTTAGTAATGTAAATTATAATAATCTTAAAAGTAAAAATTCAAAGGAAAGTAAGTATTTTTGTGGTGTTCTTTATGGAAAATACGAAAATAATGAATTTATAAAAATTGAAAATGTATTTTTTTCGATGAATATTTCTGAAGGATTTTATGACATAGATTATCTTTTAAATAGTGAAGATAGAAAAAAAGCCGATAAATTAGCAAAAATGTTAAATTTAGAAGTAGTTGGTTTTCTTTATGCCTACCCTGATATAGGTGTTGATATAAATATGGCTAATAAAAAAAAAAAAAGATATATAAAATTAAATAAAAAGATAAAAACATTAAACGATGAAGAAAATGAAATATTTATACCAATGGGTGGAAAAGAAGTTTTATTATCACTAATGTTAATGAAACAAATTTTAGATAACTCAAAAAAATACAGTGAAAAACCAAATGAATTACATGATAATAGTAATGGAAATGATCAAGAAGAAAATGAAAATGACAAATATAAGAAAAGTAAAAATGACAATTACAATATAAATGAAAGTAAAAAAAGATCTCTAAAAAAAAAAAAAAAAAAAAACTCCAATATAAAACCTTTTATTATATTATCAGTTGGTATGAGTAAAAACACAGATTCAATTATAGTAGAAGCATATGAAATTAATTATGATTTACTCAAGTTAGTAAAACATAATATTATCAAAGATATGAAAAAACAAAATAGTATCTTGCAATTTGAAAAAAAACAAAATGAAAAAGAAATGAAAATAAAAAAATTTGATTCCGAAGTAGACATAATGAATGAATTATATTTAAAATGCAAAAATAATATTCTTATTAAAAAAATTGAACTAAAAAAAATTGATATATTATTTTGTGTTAATAACGTCCCTATATTTTCCCATAAAAGTGTTTATAATTATTTCTTTCCATATCCTTCGAATGATAATTATTATAATATTCTTCAAAAATTTAATAATATGATAAAAACAATAGATAATAAAAATGATATTGTAAATGTTTTTAGAGACTTTAATTTTCTCTTTTTTTTAACTAATCTTTTTTCTATCGATCATGACTTTCCCTATTTTTGTGCAGCTGTTAATGATATAACTAATTCTATAAGTATTCCAGATCATTATATATACATTTTAAAAAATTTATCAAAAAATACAAATATTCTTGATTAAAGAAATATAATTTTCTCTAATTTGAAATTTTTTTTTTTTTATATGATCATATTTACAATTAATATTTTTTTAAATGAAATACATAATTTTTTTCTTTTTATTTATAAAATTAAATAAACAAAAGTAGGTATATTTTTAAATTTCCTAATTTAATAAAAAAGAAGAATATTTCTTTAATATTATTATACATTTTGTTTAAAAGTTTTTACAGTGTTTTTAATTTATGTAAAATTTACACATTTTATTTTTTTTACAAGTTGTACTAAATTATTACTTTTTATTATTACGAATATATTGTTGTTTTTTTATTTTTTCAATATAAATATAATATGTATTTTAAAGTTATTTTATTGATATTTTGTGACACCACAATTTATTAATCTTTTTTTAAAATATAAGTTTTAAAATTTTTAAAACACATTAATTTTTAAATAATAAAAAAACAATAAACAATAATAAAAGAATACAAAAAATATAGGTTACAAAATATTTTAATTTTTCATTAATTAAAAATTAATTGAAATCTCTTTTTAATTAATTTATCTCATGATAATTTAACTTGATGAGAATGAAATATTAAAATATGAAGATACAAAAAAAAAAAAAAAAAAAAAGTTTATAAAATTGAAATAAAAATTAATTCAAAATATTAAAATATATGAATCAGAAAAAAAAAAAAAAAAAATGAATGACACATGGATATTTTTTTATAAATTTTTAATTGGAATAATCATGAATATAAAAAAAATGGAATAGAAAAATTATAATTTATTTACAGCTATTTATTAAAAATTATTTTATAAGAAGAGAAAATAAAGATGATCAAAAAATAAGTATCAATTAAAATAATCATAGTTATGAAAAAGAAAAGAATAAATACTTAATAAATATATTAGGAAAAAATATAGAAAAAAGATGATAATGAGAATTTAAATTGAAATGATAAAGATTTATGAAACAAAGTAGAAATGAAAAGTTTATAAAAAGGCTCATATATTTTTCTTTTTTATTATAGTATTTTATATGAAAAAATATTACTATTTTGACACTAAAACTTGTAATGCTTCTCCTATCTTCAAGGAATAATTATATCTATTATTAGGGTATATTTTTTGTCTTTCTAGAATACTGGAATATTTTTTTGTATATAAATTATTTGGAGGAAATTCAAATTCATAATTATGGAAATTGTCTTTTTTTGAATAACACATACGAAAAATATTACACGTAAAATTTTTCTTGAGTGAATTAATATGAGACAAAGGAGTATTTGATAAGAGTTTTCTTTTTTTTATTTCTTCTAGTTTATCTCTTAAGAGAGATAATTTATTTTGATCATTCCATTCTTGAAATATATTTAAAGGATATGGTTTTGTAGGTGCTTTTTGATAACTAAAAAATATATTATACATTTTATTTCTTTCATAGTTATTAAATTTTATTTTATTACTTTCCGTTATATCTGATAAATTCATTTTTCCGTTGTTAAATGTTTTATTTTTGTCAAAATATTTATTAGAATTTTTATTTTTATTTTCAGTATTATTTAATTCAAATATATTCTCATCACCAAAATATCTTTTTATATGCTGAATTTTAATTTCCTTTTTCATTTTTTTTATAATTTTATCAAATATTTGTATTACTAATTGAATACCTTCTAAATCAAAATATTCGCATTTAAACAATTTTTGAAGTAATTTGATCACATTCTCACTAATTTTTTTTTTTTTTTCATAAGAATCAAAAAAAAATAAAATATCATAAAAATATGCTTCAGTTTCAGTATTTGCGAAGAAATTAATCGTATCTATTTTAAATTTTTTTTCTTTTATATCTAAAATATTGTCAAATGAATCAAAGGGTGTCTTTTGTAAATTTTCTTCTTTTTTTAAATCTAAATATTTTTTCAATATTCTATCAACTTCACTGTTTTTATATTCATCTTTAGAATAGCTTTTTAATATTTCACTGTTTTCTTCAAATGTGTAATCATCTATTTTATTTTTATGTTTTACGATATTTCCTTCCCCTTTATTTTCAATTTTTTCCTTTTCTGTTATTTTTTTATTCTGTTCTTTTTTTATTTTTTTTTCTTTTTGTTTTAGTTTCATTTTTGTTTTAATTTTTTTTTTTATATTTATTTTTACTTTTTCATCTTCTATTTCGTTCACTTCTTTTTTTTCCATTTGCTCTTTTTCTTTATTATTTTCGTTATTATCCTGTTTCTCCTTTTCTTCTTCATTTATGTTTTCACTTTTATTTATATTTTCATTTAAGTTTTCATTTTCATTTATATTTTCATTTTTATTTATATTATCATTTACGTTTTCATTTTCATTTATATTTTCATTTTTATTTATATTATCATTTACGTTTTCATTTTCATTTATATTCTCATTTTTATTTATATTTTCATTTTCTTTTGTATTTTCATTTTCATTTATATTTTCATTTTCATTTATATTTTCATTTTCATTTATATTTTCTTTTTTAATTAAATTTTTATATTCTTTTTGTTTTTTTTCTTTGTTTTCCATTTCTCTTTTTAATTCTTTTTCTTGTTCCTTCTCTCTTTTTTTCTCTCTTTTTCTTTCTTCATCACTTTCTTTTTCTTTTTCAATTTTCATTTCATCTTTTTTTTCCTCTTGTTCATATTCTTTTATTTCTTTTTCTTTTTCAATTTTCATTTCATCTTTTTTTTCCTTTTGTTCATGTTCTTTCATGTCTTTTTTTTTTTTACGTCTTTGTATTTCTATATGAATATTTTCTTTTATCTCTTTTTCTTCTTTTTTTTTTCGTTTTTTCTTCTTATTTTTATATATGTTTATTTTTATTTTTCCTTCTTTTTCTTCATCCTTCTCTTTTTCTTTTACATTCTCTTTTCTCTTTTTCATGCTTCTTTCTTTCCTCGTTACACCCTTTTTTTTTTTCTTTTCCTCAACTAAAGAAACCTTCATTTTTTTTCTACGACTTTCTTCTACATATTGTGTTTCCTTAACTTCATTACTAATTTTTATCTTTTTTTTCTTATTGTAGAGTTTGATTTTTGGATGTTCTTTTATTGCATTACTTATGAATGATGAATTTATGCTTTGGCTAAATTTCATTTTAGTATTTTTAGTAATTTTATTTTCTAAATGTTTTGTTGATTGTTTTATATCATCATATTTATTTGTATCAAGATTTACTACTTCTAATTTCGTAGGATTTTGATATAATTCATATTCTTTGGTATTGTGGCAACGTTGTAAATTGCCATTAGTATTTTGCTTCATAGTATTACTATTTTTTACTTCTGTAAATTCACAAAGTACATTATTATTATAAATGTGTGGCATTTTATTATTTTTTGTTTGTTTAGACTCGATGAAACAAAAACTAGAATTATTTTTTTTTTTCTTTATCAAATTTGTATCTATATGAATTTGATTGACAGTTTTAGATTTGTTCATATCTATACTATTATCTTTTTCCTGTATATTTAAAGAAGTTAATTTTAAAAGATTCGAATCTATTTCTGTTTCCTTCTTCGCTTTTGATAAAGAATTTCTTTCACATGTATTTTTTAAGACTTTAATTTTATTATAAGAATTTTCCTTTTTTAATTTTTCTTGATTATTTTTTTCTTTAACTTTTTTTTTTTTTTTTAATTTTTGTAACATTTTAATTTCCTCTGATAATAATTTTATATTATTTTCATTTTCATGAATAACTATTTTGGAATTAGTACTATTTTTTCCAATATCAAGTTCTAAATATTTTTTACCTTTTTTTGAATTATTATTTTCAGTATAACATTTCAAGCTTTTTTTCACATTCGAAGAAGTATTGTTCCGTAATTTTCTCTTTTCTGTATTTATAGTAATATTTGTTGTTTTGTTTATATTTGTTTCACTTTTTTTTTTTTTTTTTCTTCTTATTTGTTTCAAATTGTCTATATGTTCGATATTTTCCTTTTGTTTGATATCTAACAACTCAGTCTTTGTATTTATTTTGTTTGATTCAGTGCTACACAATATATAAGAATTCTTCATATTTTTAACATTTCATATAAATAACAAAAAAAATAAAAATAAAAAAATAATTATTTATTGTATTGAAAGAGTAAAATATATATATATATATATATATTGTTTTTTAGTTTATATAGGTTAAAAAAAAAAGAAAAAATTTCAGACATTTAATTTAATTACATAATTACAGATATTCCACAAGTGTTACAACTACACTTCTTAAAAAAAAAAAAATATTTTTTTGTGCAATTATAATTCTTTTTTTATGAATATTTTTCTTTTTTTATTGTTTTTTTTATATGAATGTGCATAACAAAAAGAAAAAAACAAAAAATAAAATTGGAGTTGAAAAATACAGAAGTATATTACTAATTAAATAAATTTATACTAAATACAATAGAAAAAAATAAATTCATACATTTAAAAATATATGAACATAAAATATTTTATTTGATTATTTTCTGTACATAAAGAAAAAACAAAATTTGTCTGTTTTTTTTTTTTTTTTTTTATGCAGCTAAATTTTAAAGTGTTAAATAAAAGCTTTATTTTTAATATTACAATTTAAGTAAAAACCTTATATAAAAATAGAAAAGGTTATAAAAAATAAACTAAATTGTTTTTATAATTGCAAATAAGAAACATTAAAAAATAATAGGAATATAAAAAAAAAATAATAAAAGATGTGTGCAATGATATGAAAAAAAAAAAAAAAAATTGAAAATATAGAGGAAAAATTATACAGAAAAAACAGAAACAGAAAGAAAAGGTGAAGAGTATAAAGTTTCAAAATTACAAAAAATAAAAAAATTCAAAAATGTTATTTTTCATGTAGTTTAAACAATATTAATGCCAATTTTACTCATTTAATGAGTTATTGCTTTTGTAAAACTTACTGGTTGTCCTTTTTGTATCTGTCCCTCATTAATGTAGTGACGTGATCTTTAATTGGTGTTAAATTATGATTGAAAATGTAATCAATGTATATTTCAACATATCTATCTCTTAAAAATTTTCTATTTAGTGTTTTACAGGCATTTCTTGCTTCTTCTTCATCATCAAAATAGACATATGCATGACCTGTTGGCTTATTTTTGGCTCCTTTAATTATATGAATAGGATAACCTTGTTTTGACAATTGAAAGTTCTTAAAGAAATTTCTTATTTCTTCTTCTGAAGCATCAAATGGCAACCCTCTTAATTTTAACCTTGGTAAATTAATTTTTTCTTTTATATTATATTCAGTAAAACTTCTAACTATTTTAAAAAATTTGCCATTATTTATAAATGGAATATGTATATTTTTTTTAAAATATTTTTTTGGAATTATAACTTTTTTTTCTTTTAGCATATGAAAAAACATTTTTATTTCTTTTATTATTACTAATTAAATAAAATTATGAATATATGTCAAATGGTATAAAAATTAGTTTTTTTTTTTTGATATTTTATGTCGCACCTTTATAAAAACAGTTTGTAATTCAATTTTTTTTTTTTACTGTTTTGAAATTAATATGTAGATAAAATACTACTATATATTCCATTTATTATCTTTTTTTTTAGAAAAATGTAATGTATATATACTATGTAAATTGCGCATTTTTTACATTATTTTTATTAAAACGCTTTAAGAAAATTTTTAATTTCAAATTTAATTTAAAAAAAATTTATATAAAGTGAAAGAGATAAAAAAATAAAATAAATATATAAAAAAAAAAAAAAAAAAAATTGGATAAAATAAAATTTAAAGAATTCAAATTTTTAGAAGTAAATGCAATTCTTATTTTACAATTATTATAATATTTATATTTAATAAAATATATATTGTTTTTTTAATTTATATTACGTAGTATATATATATATATATATATATATTTGTAAAAACATAACCTCTCCTTTTTTTTTATTTTTTTAAAAGAGTAGTAAATATATGTTAATCAATATGGTAGAAAATAAAAGCTGTAATCATTTAAAAAAATTAGAAGAAGAGAAGGGAAATTTAAAAGGAAATAATTTAAATTTATTGTTAGGGGATCTAAAAATGATGACAGCATATGAAATGTCTTCAGAATGGAAGGATACAAATATGATGAATGAATGCTTTAATAATTTTTCCTGGTTTGATTCTAGAATTCTAAAGAATATACAAAATTACTTAAATGCTGATGAAGTAGAAAGATCAAAAATTGATTATGCCTATAACACTTTATTTCCGAAACCAATTGATATAAAAGATACAAAATTAAATATGATGTCATTATGGATAAAGTCAAGAATACATTATAATAATACTTTTTTTCCATTACATTTATCTCCATATGATAATTAAAACGTATTTTCTTTTTTCTTTTCTTTTTTTTCCCTTTTATATCTTTTTTAAAAATTTCTTTTTTATATTTATTTTATTTTTTTTTTTTTTTTGTCAATGCTAAGAATATTTTTTTATAATTATGAGAATGAAAAAAAAATAATAATTAAATGAAAATATGAGCAAAAGAAATATCAAAAGTGAAAAGAAAAAGTTGAAATAAAAATTAATTCCTTAAAATAAAAAAAAATATATATATATAATTTAACGATGCTTTGTAGATAAAATTTAAGAAATTGTTAAAAGGAAAAAATTATAAATAAAAAAGGTGAACTGAAATGAAGTAGTAAATAAATTGATATCCTATTATTTTGACTAAAAAGCTAACAAAAAAGTATATTACAACTACGAAATGTTGGATTTTTCAAATTATGGTATTTTTTCTGCTTTTTAAAAAAGAAAATATAATAATAATAATTAAAAAGACATTGATAATTATTTATTTAAATTACTTTTTTTTTCTTTTTGCATATTCTACTTTTATATTTAAAAAAAAAAAATTAAGTTATAATACTATTAATTTTTTCTTTTAGCTCATCAATATTGTTATAGAATTTATCTAAAACAAAAAAAGGGATATTAAGTACTTCTTTTATATATGAATTTGTTGTGAATTTATCATCATTTATCTCATCTTTATCTAAAAAATTATAAGATAAAATAAATATAAAAACATATATATATATATATATGTAAAATTTAGTATTAAGCTATATTGTATCTTATAAAAAGTACAATATAAATTTCGTTTGTTATTTTTATCAACAATAAAAACTAATTTAATTTAAAATATAAAAAAAATAAAATTATTACTAAGTTGTATTTGATCATTTATAGAGAATGTTTCAATTGGTGATATAAAAGAACAATTATTAGAAAAAGTTAAATTAAAAGGAAAAGATGAAAATAAAAAAATATATTCTAATATATTATAAATAGAGAATATATTTTCAAACATATATTTTATTATATATTTAGCTTCACGATACTGAAAAGATATAGTATCTTTGTTTGAGCTTTTTTCTAAATCTGTATTTAACACAAGCAAATTTTTATCTTCTATTTCTTTATTATTTTCCTTATTTTTATTCGTAGAACTTTCTCTTGAATTATCTAAGTCTTTTATTTCATAATTCAAATCGTTATCATTTACGAGATTTTCATTTTTTAAAACTTTTTTATCCATATTCTTATTTAATTCTTTATCATTTTTTATTTTTTTATCATATGCATTTTTATTATCTTCATTATTATTATTTATCTTTTCCTTTTCTGCTTCTAAATTATTGACGATCTCTGAATTTTCATCTAACGAATAAACATTTATTATTTTTTCTTCAGATGATGCATATTGAATATTTTTATCTAATAAATTTATAAAATAATTTATGGTTTTTTTTTTTTTATTTTTTTTTTCTTTTAAGTTTTCCATAATTTTATATAGAGTCATTATTAGTATTGATAAAAATAGATTTAGTTTGTATATGTTTAACTTAATTTTACAAGAATATACAATAGCTTGAATTATTATTTCTATTAGCAATTTATATTTATATGTATATTTTATATTTTGTTCATTTTTATATAGACACCTGAATATTTCTTCACTAATAAATTCATATTCATCATTTATAAATTTATTATTAAAGAAATTTTCAGATTCATTTTTGTTTTCATCATTGTATAATTCATCATAATTCAAATTAGATGATCCGATTTTATTTTTTATAGTTTCATTTTCTACTTTTTCATTGCTATTTTTCTTATTAAATGTACTTTCTTGATTTTTTATGTTTTCATGTATTTTCTCATTTTTTATATTTTTTTTTGTTATTATATAATCATTGGAATTGAAAAAAAATTCATTTGAGTCATTATAATTTAAAAACTTATGAAGCTCTCCTTTTATTCCTTTTACATTTTTAAAAAAATTTTTTATTCTTTCTAAATTTTCAATAGAAAAAAAAAGTTTTATATCTTTATGATAATAGCTTTGCATAGTTATTTTATAAATAAAGAATTCATAAAATATAGACAATGTTTTTAGTAATTACATAATAATAAATATATCTCCTATTTATCATTTATTTATTAGTAATTTTTTTTTCTTTTTTTTCTAAATAATCATCTTATAATAAATTTTATTCATCTTTCTAAAAAATTTTATTTACACACATGGAAAACATTTTTCAAAAATGTAGTGCTTTAGGAAAAAAAAAAAAAAAAAAAAAAAAACGCATATGTTCTGATGTAGTCTAAGAAATTATTATTTTCTAAATAAAAAATATTTTTTTTTCTCAATATACAATAAGCATACATAATTAAAAAAAAAAAAAAGAAAAAAACTTTTAAGTTGAAAGTTACAATTACAGTTATAAAAAATCTTATCATTAAATTTACCTTTACCAAGTTTTAAATAAAGAACTATTAAAATTATATAACTAGCCGATGTTATAAAAATTGAAAAAATAAAAGTTTTTGAAATTTACAAAAAATAGAATGTTAATAATAAATAAATACGACTTTTTTTTTTTTTTTTTTTTTTTTTTTTTTTCTTTAAAATAAAAT